AATTCCCACTGAGAGCTTACTGAATCACCTTATTCACGGAGGTTCATGCCCAAGAATAGGGAGTTGTTAGGGGGTAAGTTCTCCCTCAAGAGGGCCCACATGCAGTGCACATTTACATGGTCCGAATTCCCACCACTTGATCGCTTGAACCAACTTCAAGCTGTCATAAGAGCATCTTTCCTTGGTCATATACACCACAAGTTTTGAGCTTCCACTGTAATTTGAGAGCCGATAAAGTGCAATAGGATTTTGTCAAAAACTCACTTTTGGGTCAACCCGATACTCCATTTTAATGAAATAAAAATCGAAAGAACAGAAAAAAAACACAGTAGGAAGGAAGCCATGCTGTCCAATAGAGCAGAAAATTTTCTATCAAGTAGTGTAGAACATATTGGGATTACTTGTCACTTTCCATATAAAAATTTGTGCCAGAAAAAAACGCCATTACTTATGGACCTACCCAATACTTGGCCTTCTTGATCTTTCTGGCGCGTTTTACTGAGGCTCAATAAATAAATGGCTAGCTTCATGCCGTAAAGACACTAATAGTTTCACCAGAATTTATTTTTAGTGTTGTTTATTAATCTCGATGAAAAAGTCGACAATAGCGTTGAATAAAAATGTTCCGAAGTTACTCAGAAAGGACCTCACGCAATGAAATGGATAAAATCCCTGCTGCTGCGAGTACGCCGAATTTCGAAAAATGCTGTGAAAAAAATAGAACGTTAGGAACCAACAGCCGGAAGCGAATGGAAAGTAAAGGGCTATGTAGTATACACGAGAGAATTCTGCATCATAATCACTGGAATAAAACTGGTAGCAAAACGAATAAACGAAGCTGATGTAAATTGCAACTAACAATACCTTTTGAAAAACATCGCCTCATTTGAGGTGGGTTCTAATATTTATACCACGAGTAGCGGTTTCTCGGAGTTACTCCAGTAAGGAGGGACATTTTGGTGCAATTTTTATGGATTACACAGGAGGGCCAATTTTGCATGAAAACTTTGTGAAGCTGTGAAATGTTTAGTACTTCGGTTCTGCGTTATTTCTGCGAAACGCTACCTGTTGGACGGCTTTTAGTACTGGATGGTTGAAGAAATGACCATCAGTTTTGGTTATGGGTGAAGATTTTCGGTCTACCGGGAAAGGGTTCATTTTCATGGGACTTGGAGTGAAGACCCACTTACATGTTGTTGGTAAGGTTAAGGGTTGGAAGGCCTCAAGTGTAATCTGAATCCTACACGATTCTGAGCAGCAAAACCCGCCAATGTATAGCAGGGAGACCTCCCAGATTGCGGCGTGGGCGGCAAGCGCACGCCGCAGCATAGGGGTTCGCGCCAAGTGGACACGATATTCACGTCTAACGGGTCAAACTGCCCCTGTCATTAGTTCTAACGAAATCAAGATGCTAGAAATTGCTTATGTTTTCCCAGTGCATTTTACCATCGCAAACTCTGAGCCAGTAAGCCTGGGGGAAGAACCACCGGGGTGGATTACCCAACTCAGCGAAAAGGGCTCTGGCATTTCGCGGTGGTGGACCCGCTCAACTGGCGTTGCCCTCCCAAAACTTAGACAGAAACACTCGTTCCGTGAGTCACAACAGTTGTTTCTTTGAACCGTCTCCCTCCCACCCACGGTAAAGCGTCGGGGCAAGTGGAATGACCGCGTCAGCGCGACCACCCACGTCGCCTCACTACTACCGCTCCCACTCGTTCACCTCAGGTCTTACCAAATTTTCCCAAAGTTTTGCCTCGAGCGGGGATAGGGGTGAACACCAACCATCAACTAGTGAAAATATTGCTTTTGCGCGCCGTCAACTGGGTGGTGAAAGGATTTAGAGATAGCGCGCAAGAAACGGGAAAAGTCAACAGTCACAAAAAGCTCCTATCGAAACCAAATACGACCCCCTCCCCAATGGATTTCGCATAAATGTGTGGTACTTTGCTCGTAACTTTCCAGGCTTATTTCGATCGCGCCATTTTCAAGGAATTTCTTGTGTCATTCACAATTCTATTTTCTCTCGAATAATAATAATAGCGTGAAAATTCTCACGTTATTTACAACAAAAAAAAACGTCTGGAACTGTTGTAAGTGCCTTGGGTGGTCTGCACCAAAATGCCCCACCTCAATGGAATAGCGTAAGACGACGGTGATTTGATGTGAGCTCTACTATTTATACCATGAATATCACTATCTTCATTGTATAAAAATCATATTACTCCTTGCAGAATAGTGGAATACAGTAATTCTGAAAACTGATTGGAACAAAATGAGAAAAAAAATCAGAAAACGTCTGCATAGGACAATTTTCTGTTGAAAAAAACGCTGAATAATTCAGAACAATTCAGTATCAACAAGGAAAATGTTAAGAGTTTGTACGGTGTGAGCGATCAATGGCGCTTGACACTTCTGGGTGGGTTCCCAGCGCTATATTGACGTAGAGCACGATCACAACTGTAGGTAGTGTAGGTGGTGGTGGGTTACGGTGTGAAGACAAGTGCAAGTAATTGTAGAACATTGTGTTACTTCCAACAGGCATTATGTAGTGTTAACACATGAATTGGGTTAGTACTCAACAGTAATCTATCAAACTATTGCCTCCATAAGTCGGTGCGGTAGGCCAATCCCATCGATCTGGGTGGGTGGTCAAGGGACCCAGTCGATGGGTGACCAAATTGCAAGCAGTGCGTAGTTGAATGTGCAGTGCAATGAATATCACCAATTTTTACAGTCAGGTGAGTTGTCACACAAACATTACCAGTAAACGAATCATTTATTTTCTGAATGGTAGCATTATTAATGCTTAGATCCGAAGTCAGAACGTGAAATGAAGCGGATTTCCCTATTACGGCGAATGGAACGATATTCAGAGAGTCCAAAGGCTAGTTATTCCCATCGTATCCTGTAAAAGGATGTCCATGGAATCAGGTGAAGTAAAAAGATGTTTTAGCATTAGAGCATTACTTCCTGTCCGTCATGGTATGAACAAGTAAATGATCCGCTTTCTAACGGTGGGAAGAAGGGACAATCCCAGTTCCGAGGAAAAAGACGCCTTGTTGCTGGATCAATTTCCGAAAGCTCGCATTTCGTGCTGATGATATTCCAGTAGGCAACAGTTCAAAATAAGTAATCCAAACGCTATTGGTTCCCTTCAGGGGCAAGATTACTGTCAACGAAAACGAACATGCCACAGTATTCCTTGAAGAAAGTCATTTATTGTTAGTAATGTGCCAGCAAGACAGAAACAGAAGCGAGGATTCTCGTTTGGGTGCAATATCGAATCCTCCACAAAAAACCTACATCAGCGGTTATTCTCCGAAACTATCGATAAGGTCGGTTTCCAGTTTGGTCAGGAATAGTCCAAGTGGTTAGTATCGATGCAGTACTTCCTTGTAGCCCACAATGGACCACCTTATAAATGTAGAAACAAAAGGCTTTAAAAATGTTCCATCTGGATTACGTAACTCGGCGACTTCCTGGCGGCTAGCCTCACTCTGCGTCTCTAACGAGACGCGTTTCTCTGTCATTGGAATAACTCTAGATGAATATTGTGTAATCATCCTTCTGATCGTAAATATTATATTGTTATCTTACTTTCCAAATACAAGTTAATCACCGGCATCGATATATAGCAAGAGTAGATCACACGTGTGCGCGGTGTGTGGTCCGATGCAAACGCCTTTGTGAGGTCCCGCAACGATGATGTGCCCATGGTAATTTGTTCAGCGTGTTGCTCCTCATTTTTTGCGGCTGCAAGTGCGCGAAGACTTATACTTGCGGGATGTGAGGCCGCAAATTCAATGGCTTAGCATTTATGAAGTCTTTGAATTATCAAGAAAAATTCTGGGTGGTCAGTTTGTGCAAAAAGCTGTCTCACAACTATAAGTTGTACCTACCGGACAGTGATTCTAGTGTGGCTATGACCAAGGTTCACAGGCAGTTTTTACAAAGTAAAGGTTTTTAGGTGAGGAGTTTACACCTTGGAACAGAAATATGCATTGCTTAGGTGATGCGTGTTTCTTTCCTCGCCCCCATCATCTCACGACGCGATTCTGGAGGCCGTCGTGGGTGGTGGTTGTGTGTCGGTGTATGCGTGTGTGTGTGCGTGTGTATGAGTGTGTGAAGCAACGCCAATACTACACATACGCCTCATTCCCTCCATTGCCTCGTTGCAATCGTTATATGCGATTTGATCAGCTGTTAAATACACAAGTTAACGTTTACTTACAGATTTCACCCGTCTAAATTCTGTAAATGAAGACGAAGAGCGCGGAGGATTCGTCTGACGAAAAATCACCTGGTAAGTGTTCATGGCAGTTGCAGTTATTTAAATTTCACTTTATCTACATAATTTCATTAAACCATGCACGAACATGGCAAGAAATGAGCCTCAATTTTTAAGCTAAAGCTGACGATGGGATAGCGGTGCCTTTGGATCTCCATTCGTACAGTAAGTACAGTTATACTTGAAATGAGTTATTCGGCCTTGTTACGGTTACTTTTACTAGATGAATTGCTGGAACGATATCTGCTGTCGAAGGTGGCGAAAACACAGCTCACTGTAAGCATCATAGAGGATGGAAGCTATCTCCTAAAAATGAACGTGGACCCATTTCCTCCTCTCACATGCCTCATTCCTAAACATGATTGGTAAGCAGAGAACGTTTTCGGTGTTTGTTGAAGTAGACTTTGTTATATATATTGATATTAGAACAATGTAATCAATATAGGTAATTTGCTGTTACTTGTAGTTAACGTTTTGTCGCCTTTTTCGTTTTCTTTTGGCTGAAAGTTTTAAGCCTTTTACAACTTTCCTTCTAGATGCTTGGCCCAGCGTTATCTTTTTGTTTAATGCTCTTCGGTAAAATAACACAGACTAGTGAAAAAAGGAGTAGGAGTCGTTACAATGGACCTTTTCGTCGATGAATAGCTTTATTAGTGTTGTTGAACAACTGACTTAATTATTACAGCGAAACTGTGAAGAATTGGCGTAAATGGAAACTATAGAGTACAGCACATGTAATATAAGTGTAAATTATACAATGGACCTTTTGTCTTTTGTTTTTTAGATAGTTCGTGCAAAAAGGGGGCGTGACTGTCTGGGGCGGGGCTTCTAGTGAGGTCTACCATGTGCAGGGGTAGTATAAAGGTCTCACATTATGCCACCAAAAAATTTTACTAGTCAGCTTCCGTAAGCCAAAACCTGAATCTAATTGGATCTTACTATCTCAGCCCAAGAGGAGTACCCAAGAAAAACGCTCATGAAAAAAATAACATCCCGTGTAGAGTGATATAGATAGTTGCAATATTACATTTCATTATATTATATTACTGCAATATTCTTTTTACAGTACTTGAATATGTAATATTGAAATAGTATCAAAATCAGCGCTGAAAATGACGTTTGGATATGCACTGTGCAAACATCGACTGTTTCCATGATTGTCTCGTGTTTTAAGGGTTATGACGATGCAGAAAGTGGACGCTGTGGTGAAGATGAACCCTGAAATGACAGCTGAAACAAACTCGTAAGTTACCGACAAAAGGAATTTACTTACGCAATGTTAGTGTTTTTTAAGGTTCTCGTGTACGGAGAATGCTTCTGAGAAGGCACTAGTCGTTTCGAAAAGGTCTCCAGAGTTCAACAAATCTCCCTCCCCTTTTCCGCCTAGTACAAGTTCGGCACAGGTATTTTGTCATTTGTGGCTCTTTCTTTTTGTGCATTTTAGCTGGTCATTCTGGAGGACAAATAAGACATCATTCTCGTCCTTTTAATGATGTTGTCAGATAATTGTTTCCAAGAAAATAGGGGAGCTTTTCCTCAAATGGCAACGAGTATGTTATCCTGTTACATGTTGAGTATGTAGTTACTGGATTGGGTCCCTGCCGCGCATATCAACCAGTTTTTAGCACTTCTTTCGTCGCGCTCACTGTGGCTTAGAAGAAGCGTACCGTCGTATGTTATACGAGTTCCTAGAAATGTATGATTTTGACTAGGATGCGAAATTCTGCCGTCTATTCCCTCAGATATTTGGGATGTTAGTGTAAGGTTGAAGAGAAAGTGATTAGAATCTAAAACTCTTGAACCTCAACTCCGAACTTCAAAATTATAAAAATGAAGTCGTGAAGTGTATACTGTCCCAGAATAAATTCTTACTAGCATGGGACAACTTTTCTTACTCCATGAGAGTAGCTTTCGGAATACTAGAGTTAATTAAAGGTTTTCGGCCCCTTTTTAATTTTTGGAATGTATTTCTTCCAATTTGTCCGATGGTTCTTGCAAAAAGATGGGTCAAAAATTTTTTTACCAAAGCTTTTAAACGAGAAAATTTCATTCAAAATAGGGACTGTTTATAAAACAAAAGTAATCTAAAACGTGGAAACATTTGTCAGTACTTTTAGCTAAAAAAACTTCATAGAAATGACGCAAAATTTGTTCTGAAGTAAAATGAGAATATTCTTGATTCGATCGCTTTCCCGGCAACTCAAGTTGTGTAGTAATTGGAAGTTAGTCCATATCTGACTTTCCTACAGTTTTGGCTTGATGACTTCGTTGTAGTATATCTTCAAGTCTCCGAAATATCTAAGAGATTCATTAGATCTACGTTTCGGCTCCTTCACATAGATCAGTGCCTGAAATGGGCGAAAAAAAATATGAAACCTATCCGCTCAAGCGCCTTGACAACTCGCGAGCCGTTTTATTGGACCAGTGAAGCACCCAGGTAGATCCATGGGCAGATGGTCGACCACCCTGGTGTTGGTTTTAATGTGGAGTGATGATTAATCACTTTCTGATTCCAATTAGATCATGACTTACAGAGGCTGAGATCAAGCGCAAGCTCGCAGGTTACAGCCACTTAATCATCCCTTCTATTCATTTTAGGGTCCTTGGTCATGGCACAATCAGGCGGTCAGGCGCAAGTAATGCAGGCTTTTTGGGTCACTGCCTAGGACCCTAATGAATAGTGGGAGCTGAAACCCTTTTTCCCTTTTGTGCCGTAAGGTCGGAGGGTTAAATTGGTAATGACTACCCCACGTTCGAGTCAACCCCGAGTGGTCGGCCCCACATGGCGGTAGTTCAGATTAAAGGTGAGCCATACGTCTATCGATCGACATCGTTGGGGGTTTCACTAATTTAATGAAATTGTTTTGAGAATAGTTGATCTGCTGTTGAGTGCTCAGGTCCTCTAGGTTTTCGCTGCCCATTCCAGGCCTAACGAAAAGGCGAAGATACCGGAACGTTTTTGTAATAAAGCCTTTATCTTGTAAAGGCTTGGCGTTGTACTGCAACGTAAATGATTAATTCTAATAGTCCCCTGAAATTTGATGAGCGGAACTTTGCTCCGATAGGTTAGGGTTCTTCATTTGATAGCACAAGGGCTTTCCCGTATATCCGTCGTCACGCAGAAGTCCATATAGCGGGTGTTATGACACCCTCCCCATGCGTGGCGTAAGGGCATCATTGTGGACTGGTGAGATTGGCCAAAGAGTATACTGACGGTTCTGTTGGGTGGATACTTTCGTGAAGACAGTGCTCAATTTCCAAATATGTTTTGTTGTCCGTCAGTTACTTACCATAGCTGACTGCTAGAGTAAGTACTATCATCTCCGTAATTTTTTTGTTGTGTTATTTTTGTGACTCAAACGTTAGCTGCGTGAGTTACTGGGAGTTTGTATGGGCGCATGGCTAAACAAATTACCTTTGTTTTCCGTAGCTATTAGCATTATGCTTGTCTGATCTTCTTTTTAGAATGACACTCTGTGATGTTTGCTTTTTTTATTATCTTTTCTATTCAGGGAGATCAGCGTAATCGTAAGAAACGCTGTCCACTCAAAGTTAGATTCCATCGATTAAGTGATGATCGATATCAAGTTGTTGGAGTAGCGGATTCATCCGCTGAGAAAACCGTTAATGATGATGATGATGATGATGAGACTGCTCAGAAATCCCTTGGTAGAAAAGGTCACAAGAAAAACAAGGTAGGACAATTGTCTTTCCTTTCCTTCTATTTAGTAATTTATGTCTCACTGTTAGGAAGCTATCACTCGATGATTTTCCGAACAGTGATGGCAAATATGAAAAAATGTTCCATAAAATCCGTTTTGGAAGCATTGGGGTTTTTCTTTTGTTAATGAGGCTTTACACATTTTTATCATGGAATTCCGGGAATGTTTTTGTGAAATTTAAGAGGTTGAAAATAAGATTTAAAGTCATTTACTACTCAACAGAATGTGTATTTAGCTCGTCATACGACGGGGACTAACTCTTTTGTTTCAGATTTTATGTAAAAGTTACGTGATTTTTGTAAGGGGCGTTTTTTACAGTTTTTTTTTGGCTACTGGGATATCAACTAACTACTAATCTCTCATCAGGGTAATTCAGATAAATCTGAAGGCGTTCTGTTTGGGAAATGATTTCGCTTGGTCCTAATGCTCAATTTTTGGTCAGCAAAGGCTGTTTGAAAAGCAAGAAGCGCAGCACAGTCATCTGCCTCTCAAATATAAGAATTGAATGAAAGATGGAACGAATTTGATACCAAGGATGAGGTACGGTCTGTTCGCTGCGGATGAAGGGGCATGTCGGCGGGATGGGTTTGGCGCGTCGCCAGCCCATTTTCCGCCAATTGTTGTCGCTTACTCGCTTCAGCAACTGAAAGGGAAAGGGAAGGGTGCAACAGAAAATACCCACAATTCTAAAACCAATTTCCTTACAGTCAAAAATTACAACTTCGAATTTAATTTCAGAGACGAAAGGTTGAACTACATTTTTTTCACTATCTTTCTCCAACTCGATAGATGCTCCTGCTTTTTTTTGAAATTAATCTTCCATTTGAGATTAAAATTTGATTAATTTGATCAGTTTGGTCTTGTTAATGTCGATCTTGGGTTGCTACACTTTGCTACGTCAAATATGCTACCTTTACAGAAGTCTAAACGTCGAAGTAGTGACTCGATAGATAATGAAGAAGTCGCCTATATGATCGGTGCGTTGATTGTGTTGTGATCGTAAAGTATTACTCATTGTGAGCTTTCTTCAGATGAAAGCTCAATTGTTGAGTCCTATTCGAGCAACGCAGCACCCCATATGGTGAATGGAAATGGTTCTGTCGACAATGTTTCAAATGGTGGCTGCTATGAGAGATCGTCACCGGTAGCTAAATGCTCGTTATCGAAAAGGATGGAAGCCGGTGCAAGGAGTGCTGCTGTAATGGTGACATGGCCATCGAGCAGTGAGAAGATGTCTGTACAAAATGGTGATAGCGATGCGTCTGTCGCTCCTGCTCAGTCCCTTGTCTTACACCATACGTGGAAAAGTAAGTGGTATTCGCTACAAATGTGTTTAAAGTTATGCGCAATTTTTCCTGATAGCCCTTGTAAATTTGATAGCAATGGAGAGTGACGAGCGAGACCTCAGCATGCCATTCTCTGAACTGCCGATCCCCATCATTCTTCAAAAGTGGTGGGGTTTCTACAAAGTGGGCGGATCATCTCATGGTGGGCGGGGCTTTTCATAAAGGGGCGAAACTTAGTGTGTCGGTGCACAGAATGCGCATCTATGAGTACATCAGTTCTGTGAAGAGTGGATGTGAAATTAACAAAGTCGAAAAAGTTATGAAAATTTGAAGTTCGCAACAAAACTTTGAAAATGGGCGGAGCGGCTATGTGTCGTTGTCCGGTCCTCTTCAGTCGAGGTTGCGAGGCAGCAAAAGGCAACAAAATGTCACAGAAGCAGAAGTTATGAAACAAAATTTGAACTTTATGTCCGCACTGACAAGTAGGCGTGGCCGTCGTGCGAGCCTCACAGTGGTGTCTGGCGTACTGGTGAATTGCCTGGTCTAACAATTGTGGTGAATTTAATTTGAAGAGTGGTGAAGGAGTCGGTTTGAAAAGTGGAATCGGTTCGAAAAAGCGGCATCAGCATCATATAGTAACAATGTGGCATACTTGGGCAGCGTTCTGGCTTCGCGATGTCACGCGCTACAATTAAAAAAGCGTCCTAAAGATATAGACACAAACGCAGCTTCGGACGACCGGTGCCGATCGATTCCCGTCTGCAAACGCTCGATGGATGCGCGTCAGCTGCTTGTGCCTTGAGAGAGTGTGGGGTGGGGATAAGATGGTAGGTGTTGCCTAGTACAGCAATCTATCGATTGGGACTGTTCGCTGCTTTTGCGTCAATAGCAGAGCGCTGTTGTAATTGTAGCGCGTCGACGCGCGTCATCGCGAAGTCTGAACGCTGCGTTGCCTTCATGAACTGCTGTTTAACGCCGAAAAAAGGATGAGGTGACGTGAAGAGTTTATATGTTCTGAGGCGCGTTTTGCTCGTCCTTGACATGGCATGACACGTCATACAGCATGCCGTAACACGATGAGATGAATTCCGGTGTACATGGTCGATTCTCCATTAATCTCGGCATGACAACAGCAATATTCAAAGGTGTTTCTTGAGCGATCCGAGATTGTTACCAATTTTTATTCGGTCCACTCTAGGCAAAATTGTCTTTTTCAGAGCCTGTAAATCAAAACCTATTTTAGTAACAATTCGTTCTAATCCCATTTCCGGTGTGATATGTTGTCAAACAAGCCTCAACAAGTAACGCCGCCCAAAGACAACGTTGGCATGCACTACCCTGACTCGTGTGAAGACTGAACCGCTCACAGATTATTTCAATTCAGATAAACATCGTCGTGGAGACCCTGTCAAGGTTTCTTCATACGTAAAGCGTCAGAGTACTCCTGTATCAGGTTTGTAATATTTCCAAAGCTGTAAAAGTTTTCTTGTCAACTGACATGATTCCTCTGCTGTTTCTCGATAAATACATTCAATTCAGCGACCATCTCTGTGAAGCGACGCATACCTCGCATGAGTCCACGTGTAGATAGAGTGAGTCAATTGAACGTTTTCAAAGGTTCAGGAGTGATCAAAGTAAGGATTACAATTCATGGTTGAGGGCCTCCACAGATGTTTATTACAAAAGCTTTTGCGGTAGCATCCTCTTTTGTGCGCGTTCGCAGAGTCACCATTTAAACGAGTGCTTGCTGGAGTTACTTCTTCAAGTTAAGGTAATACAGTCGCGGTTCCCATAACTATTAGTGTCAAGGTTTGCATTCGCAACAGAAGCAGGACTTGAATTTCTTATTTCGCAACCACATATTAATCAAAACATTTCGAAGCGAACTTTTGCAAATCCCTGTCAATGCGCTGCACCACTTTGTAGCGGCTTACAGTTCCTTGTAAAGCTACGAAATGGTACGAGCTCTTCTCAGGATATCACTGAATGGAACTCTTTGATAGCGTCCCATTTAGTGGGCTTTTAATAAAGTGCTCTGGGTGATAACCTATTGGCGCAAAAGAATACATAAAACTTAGCCACATTACCAAGATTTACGAAGAAACAACTTGTAAAAACACAAAAGAAAATATGAATTCAGCAATAATGCTGAGGTTTTACAAAGGAACAAGCTGGGCAAACACAGTATACGAGCATCAAACTCAACAATAACGCCGAAGTTTTACGAAGGAAGGCACATGTAAGCATGTAAGAGAAAACCAAACGAAAAAAAACCGAGGTTTCATGAAAGTAGAAGCTGGACAATCACACTCTCTTACATTCTTTCTGTACATGATGAAAGATGGATTCGTAATCTTCCTATACACGATGAAGAGTGGATACATAACTACAAGGCGAATACTGCCGCTTGGGCTGGAAATCCTCCATTTGTTTCCTAGACGATGGATCTCAGGGGATCTGTCGGAGTTGGCTCCTGAGTATGTAGCCAGTGTGTCTCAGTACAGGACGTTCATAGTTACGGATATAGTCGTACCATCGACCACAACTGACGATAAGATGAGTGCTGTTCCTTTTACTTCCGTCATACCGATGTCGCGCCTGAGTCCATGGTCACAAAGTTGTCTCGTCCAGTGGTGAATGCACCGCTCTACGTTTGCTATAAGTCGATCTTTCAGCAGATCTCTGATTTCTCACTGTATGGAGGGCCCTTTCTGTAATCCACGCACAGAGTGAACAGCAGCTGGCTGTTAGGAGCGATTTTCAGTGGACTCCAACTGTCAACATTGAAGGTCATCAACTTCACGGACACTTTTGAAGGATGGAGAAGGTGAATCGGTGCATTTCGAAGTGCCGAATGCTGGAAACCGAGCTTACTACTTGCATTTGACGATCGAGTTAAGAGGAGATAACTTCTATCTCAAATATTGTGGTAGCATTTCATAATAGCTGAGCCGTTTACTGGCAGTGCCGTGGTAAGATAGGTGAAGCTTCCGCCTATTGAACTTGCTGGCGAAGCCGTCGTAAGTAAAGTTGGCATGAACCTGCGAGCTGAACCACGCTGGTTTACCAGCTAGCTTCCCGGTTGTTCGAGAAATAGGTGCCCATGGACAGTCTTGCTGCTTTTCCATGAGGGGTATCCTTGCATTCCGACAGGTAGCGCGTGAAGAGTCGAGCCAGAGTTTTGACGAGAACTGGCGGAAGATTCTTCAGATGTTCAGGTCAGATCATCTCGCGACCAGGTGCAGTCTAGGAGTTTCCACCAGTAAGATGGTGTATCGGATTTCGGAAGGGGAGAACAGATGGAACAACCTATCCATCATGCTTCAAGAGGTACAATGGGTGGTGGTTGCTAAAGAGATCAGAATAGAATTCGTGGACGACCTTCTGCATTGCCCTCCGCGCTGCAGCAGTTACTCCGTCTGAACGTCGGGGCCGATCATCTCATCTTATAGTTGGCGAAGTTGCAGCGAGCATTGCGGATGCTCTTCCTAATCACTGTGGCTTCCACCTGCATGGTTCTCTTCTCCCCTTTATCCCGTCCCTGCATAGAGCTCAAACGTTAGCTGACAGTAACTTGTGGCTCGTGCGGCTCCACGTTGGCGAATCAGCTCGAGAGTTTCCAGAGATAGACGCTTCTTGGTAATCTTGGAACTCTCTGACTTCTTGGCGCAGTCATGAAGATGCACAACAAGGCGTTCATCGTCCTCGTCGGTGTTATAAATATCTTGGATATATGTATCCTGTATCTTCCCAAAGCTCGTTTAGAGAAGTGAAGTGATCCCGATTGATCAGAAGTCTTGGATTTCGCTTCTTGAACTTTACGGCTCTCTCTCTCTCGCATCGAAAAATGAAATCTCGCGCGAGAAACATTGAGTCGGCCTCGTGTAGTACCTAGAAACGACAGTGATGTCGGTCAGGAAAAATATTCGGTTGAAAATGATGTGCTCGATTTCATTGTATAATCGCGTCCACCAGAAGACTCTTCATGTCTAGCGGAGAGATGAGGTTTCTGGGATCGTGAGTTATCATGGATGGTGCGGGTGGACACGATAAACTCAGGCCTTTCATCCAGCTAATTCCACCTTATTCCTAAGGTTCCGATGTGAAGTCCTTTCGCTGGTTTTATGGGTCCGAGCGCTTGAATCGCCGACGCTGCCCGTCAAAAGCTACGGTCTTCCTTGTAGGACTTCAATTTCATGTAGCTTCGAGCTCATCGTGGCCGTAGCTCGATGCTGGTGTGTATGTGACGAAGGTTGTCAGGGCCGGAGTTCAACCATATCTCCTCATTTGCAACGTCCGATTCTGATCGTCAGGTTTTCATATGAGTCGTTGTCCATGACCAAGTGCTTGTCGACCAGGACATTCACATCGCCAACGCCTCTGCCTTCGCCTTTCCGAACAACAGTTCTTCTCCGGCTCCGAGACGGCGTGTAGCAGGGCGATGCCTCCTCGTCTCGGTCAGTCCGATGACGTCGTACTTGATCTTCCTGGCTTGCAACATCAGAGCCTCAATGTGTGCTTCCGATGTGTTGAAAGTACAGATCATCATCCTAGTCCTGCGCAGCTTGTTTCTCTGTTGGCACTGAGTTCCTTACAGCATCTACCAAGTGGTCCGAACCAATGCTGTCCTGTTGGTAGTGCCCTCAGGTTGAGTGGAATGACGCCGTTTGTGGTTACTGTTTTCGGCGTATGAACTGACCACGCGTATCTTGCCAGGCCTCAACGAACTAAGTTCGCTTGAGGCTGCGGAAAGAAGGTCTGCCGGTTGCGCTTGCAGTGATCTTCATGATTAGCCCTTACCGTCGCCTCTATCATGTGGAGTCTAGTCTTTAGACTTCTGGGTGATTCATGAATGACATCTCATCATCAAGGAAAACTTGAACTGCCTTGTGAGAGATGTTTGGTAAACTGAATAGGTCATACCGGTCGACGCAACTGACATCAAGAGGGCCATCCCAGGATTGTTTCGTACATGCATTACAGCACCATTTTATATAAAACGGGTGACTCACACTGTATCTTTTCCCACACACTCGAAGTTGTCATGCTGTTCATGAAGTTGAACGTTGTTCATCATATGATTTCCACATTATGAACCTGGACATTATGGAGGTGACCCGCCTTCACACAGTGCCAATTTGAATTGCGCTGTTGCGGCGCCCCGCCTTTTGGCGGTGGAGCACCTCCGCTGGAATCGCGCGATCCGATCGAGCGATGCAGTTGCGCGATCGCGAAGTCTGAACGCGGTTTTACCCGTGAGATAATGACCGAAGACTATGGAACCTTGCAGCTGAACGGACACTAAAACTGGCTATGCAAGAGTTGCAGACCTTGTCAACTAATTTTCGGCATTCCTCACATTCATCAGTGATGCTCGGCTATCGCCTTAGCTATTAGCCCACGCTTCTCGTGTTCATTTTGAGACAATGTTTTTCGAACCACCTCCGAATATGTCTTCGATTCAGTTCGTTGATCGTTTCATAGATTTTGATCAGAAATTAGTGCATACTTCTTGCTTATAGTTGTTTAAGTCACGGGAAGTACTTTTCTGCTTTGATATTCTTGATCGAGATTTATTCTTGGATGCAGTATGGACCTTCGCAACGCATTGGATCTGCGCGTTGAAGGTGACATGGAGTAAAGTTGTAGACATGTTCTTCTTTTAGCGCACGTTTTCTAGTGGTATCTGAAACCAAAGTCTGATTTTACTGTTGTGAAGGCTTTTATCTTGTTCGCGGTCTCGTAGCTTTTCGCGCAGAAATTTGGTAACATTTTTAATGCACAGTGGAGTAAAATGGGGAGTTTGCACTTAGAATCTACGCAGGGCAGCGTTCAGACTTCGCGACGCTCTGTAATGCGCGACGACGCGCTGTCTGTACGCGCTGATTGCAAAGCCGCTCTATTATAGACGCGAACACAGCCGCAGACGGGAATCGACACCGCCCGGTTGTGTGTTGTGAGAGAGTATGGGGGGGGGGGGACAGGAGGGTACGGTTGTCTTTGCTCAGTGTGGTATCGATCGGCACTGGCTGCTAGGTCTTGGGAGAGTATGGAAAATAGGAGACATTAAATTGTTTGAAGGCAGCACCTGCCATCCTCTTATTCAATCTTCTCAGAACAGAAACGCTTCCCGTCTGCGACTGCGTACGCGCATATGAAATTGGAACGCTGCTGTAATTGTAGCGGGTCGACGCGCGCCATTGCTAATTCTGAACACTGTCTAACAGTTGTCAGAGCATCACTCAGCGCATGATCTGTATGTTCATTATCGTTCTTCAGATATAGTAGACATTCGTTTAAAATGTCCACATTGCTCGGCAAAGTTTTAAAGATGTGATGCTTGCTTTTTTCTACACAACTTTCTTCCGACTGCTGCATTCGTCTTCTTGTATCACTCATATTCTATTTATTTTAATTGGTTTCGAGTCCTTTAGTTGTTCACGGTAGCAAGCGTCTACAGCAATCCTGTCACGATACGTCATTTGATGACGTTACGTCATTTGATGACGTCACGACACGTAATCACATGACGTGTGATGGCGTGTCATTACATGCCCTGTCTAGACACGTGATCGACTCGACGCGATAATAATAATCACTGCTAATACAAAAAAATTCGGAGGCTCCCTCTCCTAGCTCTAAAATCACACAAATCGGA